GACTACGACGAAGGTTTAAATATGTTTTTAATATTTGTATTTTTTTTATTAAATTTTATTTTAATGTTAATATATTATTTTAATAATTTTTTATGTAAGTTTAGTTTTCAATAATATTTTTTAGTTTAATAAAATTTATTAAAAAGTTAAAATATGATTAAAGAAAATTATATCCAAATTTGAAATTAATAATATTTTTTACTATTATTTTAAATATAATAAAAGAACTAAATTTACATTTTTTTAAGTTTAAATATTGATTAATAATTTTTTAAAAACTTCAAGACTAATTAATAATTTTTAATAAATATAAAGACTAACCAATACATTTTTAAATATAAACACCAAAATTAAATTTATAAAAAATAATAAGTGAATTATTTAACTTTGATATATTTTATTGTTAAGTTAATAAATTAATTTAAATATTTTTAACTATACTTGTGTAACAACCCGTAAATTCTATTTAAAATTTTTAATAAATGAAGGAAGAAAATAATTTTTTCACGTAAGAGAGGAATAATAGTTCAGTTTACATATTCAGAATAGTTGAAAAGAAAAAAGAAAAGAAAACATCACACATCAAAAGTCCTAATTACACAAATGTTTTACACCTAATTACACAACACAAAATAACTCTTTCAAATTTAGGAGGTCTCTACTCCATTTCTCAAATCACTGGGTCTTACTACCACCTGTAGAAGATTTGGAATCTGCTCACGTGTATAACACGATCATAGCAGGATCCCAAAAGATCAAGCACGCAACAAAAGCAAGGGTAAGCTACCATTTGATTAAATATGTAGAACAGTGTAACATTGCAAACAACACTTATTAATTCACAAACATCCTAAAACTAGACTCACGAGAGAGTCTAGCATTTTACAATCACAACACACAACAAGACTGACGCTTTCCGGAAAACTATATGGAATTCAGACCAGTAAGGTAGACACCTGATGAGGAATATTTGGGGTCCCAGACCCTTAAAATTTCATGGCCCCATGCCTATAATATCATTTTTTTTTCAACCTCTCATCAGAGCAACACATGCATAGGATTGACACTATGTTGTGTCTCCATCGACTTCCCACCACAGATATATTCGTCTATATGACTAGGAACATCTTGGAAGTCTGGATACCCTATTACGCATATCCATAATTCCATACACATTATTCTATACAGTACATAAAATCTATCATTCAACAACTATTTCATACACACTATTCTACTCAGGGTTTCTAGAATCAAACTTACATCATGCAGTTCAAAATGTCCAGTCCAACATTTAAAATTCTCAACTACTATGCAATCATAATTCACTTAAAACGGTACATCCTTTCTCCTTCAAACCACACAAACCAACCATACAATTTAGAAATTCAATGATACAAAGATATCTATTTCAAAACAATTTACATTGCAAGGTTTCCACAGTGCTCACAATATCATATCACATATAGCACGTATATATGTCACAAGCATATTCTCATATCACATATAGCACGTATATATATCACAATCATACTCTCATATCACATATAGCACGTATATATATATATATATATATATATATATATATATATATATATATATATATATATATATATCACAAACATACTCTCATATCACATATAGCACGTATATATATCACAATCATACTGTCATATCACATATAGCACGTATATATATATATATATATATATATATATATATATATATATATATCACAAACATACTCATCATTCACTTTATTAAACATTTCATCAATACAATACAACCAAGTAAAAATTAAAGAAGCTTCCCTTACCTGAGGGTGATGTTACACGTCAACCTAATTCCAATAAAACCTTAGGAATGCCAAAACACCTAATTTGTACCGTTCTCTCCCAACTTGCAAAACCCTAAAAACGAAATTGAAGTAATAAACATAATTAAACCCGAAAACATGAAATTGGGGAGTGACAGAGTAAGAGGAAACCTTTAATTCCACAATTAATTCCTTAAATTCTCAAAACCCCAAATTTTAACTAGCAAAAACTCTAAAATTCAAACTTACCGAAACGAAATTCCAATCGGTGGGTCTTCTGCTGTTTTTCACCATGAGCACAACGGCGGTCTCCGATTCTTGATCGGAGAAGAAGAAAGTCTTGATCTGTAGGAGAGAAGGTAGAGCTGAGTTATGGAGACGAGGAATTTGTTTGAACAAAGAAGAAGAAAACCAGATTTTCTCTATCTTCTTCTTTTTACTTTTCTTTTAATTACAATATATTACAACTTGATATTTAAATAATGTGAACCAAATTTTAAAATATAAAATTTATAATATTATGAATAGTTTATATATATATATATATATATATATATATATATATATATATATATATATATATTTAATATGAATTTATAAATTAGTCAATTTATAATATGTTACATAAATACACACACATCAGTGGCCGGCCAATCCACGTGACCACTCTGACCCACCCATATCGTCACTTCTAACTTTTGTATTTATTTTATAAAGTCAAGATCAAATACATTTTTGGTGCTTATAGCGGAACATTTTCTTTTTCAATTCTTATATTTTAGAATTTAAAAAAATTCTTAAACTTAAAAAAAAAGTCCTTTAATAAAATTTATAATAGTAAATAAACTTACTAAATGTCAAATATAGAAATAAAAAATTAATAAAAAATCTCATATTTTTAAAAGTTATGAATTTGAAATATGGAAAAAAGAATTTAAAAAAAAAAGATATAGGAACCAAAAACGTACTTTTCCCTATTTTAAAAGACTATCTAAAAATATAGCCTATGTTTCTATTCATTGTTTTTGTATTATAAAAGATAAAAAAGACATGTATTTTGATACATACTTCTTGTTTGTATCAATTGATAAGAACGGATGTATTTGGATGGTTGCATACAAACTATAAGATTTTGTTTCTTATCTTAAATGTGAATATATGAATAAAAAATGAATATGACTCATGATGGTTTGTGTTATCTTATTAGTAAAAATAAATAGATATTATCGATGAACAAAATTCGTTAGAAATTGTGTTGTCAGTAAAATTTATCGACGAATTTTTCTAGTCTGTCAATAATTACCAATGGATATTTTCATGAGAAATGTCATGGGTAATTACCGACGGATATTTACGTGGATAAAGTCTGATAGTGGTGTGCTTTCAAAATACTTATCAACGAATATATCCGTCGGTAATTACCGAAGACTCCTTCATCTAATTATAAGTGATAGTCTCCAATCATTTATTGACGAATTATCCATCGGTAAATCACCAATAAAACTGCCTCTATTTCTAGATTCATTATATTTTTGTCTCTTCTCATATAACCTGTAAAATGTATAACATTCAATCAATTCAACGATCCAATTCAATAATCCAATTAAACATAAATCTAACTCAACTTAATAACAAGTAAATTCAAATGTACTCTAAATTATGCACAATGAAACATAATGTACAATCCTAAAAAAAGGCTAAAGATACAAGTAGAACTGAAATATTATTCTATTATTGTTTATATAACATTTAATAGTGAGAATAATCAGGAGAATGATGTTCTAGTATGTTGTCTTCCTATAGTGGGTTATCTTGTTGCTCTTGATTCACTTCCTGTTGTTGGGGTTGTTCTTCACTATCTGGTTGACTATGTTGGCGCTGCTGAATGAGAGACTGTGCACCGGGGGTAGAAATTGAACGACTACACTGACAAGGGATTGAAACTCTGTAAATTGGTGCTCTAGTCGTTTGTTGTGCTCCCTTGTTTGACGAATTTTTTCTTCTTGTGCAGATAGTCGTTGTCTCAATTAATTCATCTCTTTGAAGTCAATTGAGGAGTTGGATGCTTGAGTTTGATGCTTCAAGCTATCAGAACCACCCTGATAACCATGAGCAAGTTCTCTAGCCCCATACAATCTTCCTTTATTCTTACCTCCAACTATGAACTTTTACGATTTCATCCTTCAAAATTAATGTACAATCGCATTTGGTGCATGAACATCAAATTCCTCCATCACGTTTGTAATACTCATATTGTTGAGAAGTTCTAACAAACTCTTCAACCCCTCTAACAAAAGACTCTTTCAAACCTCTTCTACCACTATAACATCTATCATACATCCAACTACGATTGAAAGGAACATCATCCATTCTCTGTAACAATGAAGAAATAGGATGAATTAATTTTGGATGTTGACAAATTAATGCAATGTAAACTTGAAATTGGGGTTTGTATAGAAGTAATATAACTTATAGGTGTACTACAAATCAAACTTTAATGTTAAGCGCAAGTTCATACAATGAATGAACTAAAACTTTTATAAACAATAAATTATTGTTTAATCGTGGTACACACTAATTAAGAACATGTAGATGATTGTATCTGTCAACTAATTCAAAACATGCAGACTACTGCATGTTGAACTAAATTATGAACATATATACTTATAAATGTTCAAGTAATTACAAAATTTTCCCAATAAGTAAAAATTGCAGAATACAATAACACAAAATAACAAAAAAACATCCTCAATTACAAAATTGTCCCAATAAGCAATTTCATAGATCAATGCAGATACCCATTTCATTCAACACCAAACCAAATAAGAGACTCCAAAAGAAAAAGAAGGAAACCTACACAGTTAGGATGCACATCAATAGAAACCCTCTATCATACCCGACAAATCCACCCATTTAAACTAAGCAACCCCATCAAAATCTTATGAGATATTAAAACCCAAGCACACACTCTGAGATCAGCCAGCAGCCCTAGTCCAAAATCAGATAAACAAAATAAGGTCAAATATAAACCACGCACAAAAAAAATCCCACTCAAAATCTTACAGATCCCAATCAATCAGAGACCAAAAGCTCAAAGAGAGACCAAACCAAACCATGAAAAACAAAGACCCTAATAAAAAATCAATCCCATATTAGAATCGGCAAAACAAAATTCAACAAACATAAAATGAGACCCAAAGCATGGACCCTAGGCATCGAGTTCAAGCTCTACAGGAACCTGGCTCACGACTTCTGCTTTGAGCAAAGACTCAGTGTTGCCAAGAACGCATCGATTTCGGTGCGGTGGTTGGGCTGGACTAGACAGAGTGGATGAGAGCTCGCCACTGCGTAGGTGGCTCACAGTGGTTTCGTCGTAGCTTCAATCAAGGGAGGTGTGGTGGCACGATTCACGGTGAGGGGGAGAAAAACAGTGCCATGGTGGTTCACCGAGGGGCTAGGGCTGGCACGCTGAAAGAGTTAAGATTTTTGTCGCGGTTTCAACACTTTCAAATAAGTTCCCCTAAAATAGTAATAATGCAGTACAATGGGAACCAAAATATCAATCCGTGGAAGTAATAAGAATATATGATTGAATTATGAATGATTTAATGGGGAACTAAACTAAAAATGAAATTTACAATCTTAAACTAAACTAAAATGAGGTTAAATCCTAATATGCAGTGAATGAAAATACTGCAGAATGTAAAAATGGCTAAAAATATGCAGAATGACAAAAAATGTAAAATCTCAAATCTGACCATGATGAACAGTAACCCGGTCAGTATCGCAAATCTGACCGACATGAGTATTCACAGTCAAGAATCACGGTCAGAAATTTGTGCTCTCGGTCAACATGCAAATACTATAAGATGTCTCGGTCAAAAATTGAAATCAGTGAACAAAATATATGGTTGACCGAGAATAATGCTAATAGAAATGAAAAATAATGCAAAAGAATGAAGTTAAACCAAATTCATAAATTTGACCGTGATGAACAGTGACCACGGTCAGAAACACACCAAACTTGGTCAGAAATATGTGATATCAGTCAAAACAAAATGTAAAAAAAATTGCTCGGTCAAGAATTAAATGCAAGGTGTAAAATATATGAATGACCGTAATGAACAGTACTGGTGGTCAGAAAACCAAACAAATGAAAAGGTTTCGGTCAAAATGAAATTATGAAGAGATGTCTCGGTCAAGATTTGAATGCAGTGTATAAAATGTATGATTGACCGAGAGAAATTCAATTATTTTTGTATTTTGAGTTTTTAAAATGTGAGATGACCGAGTGAGTGTGTTTTGGTGCACGTGGCTAAAATCCTGACCGAGTAACAATGGTCAATTCGGTCAAATTGCTCAAAACAGTGGTAAATATGATTTGCAAGTACTGGAATGAGTGCACCAATGTATATTTATGAGTTTTTCAATTTTAAAGGGGGATTTGCAATGCAAAAAATTAAATTGAGAACCTAGCTACAACTAATTTATTCTAAACTAAGCTATTGTATGACAGAACATAAAACAGTACAGTAAAATCTATCTAACCCTAAAACTAAGCTTCTACAAAGATTAAAACAAGTAATCAAAGCAATAAAACCTAGATACCATGACTGTAAAGCGTCTCAAACATCAAAACAGTAAAGTCAAAGCAATAAAATGCAGAAAATTAAAGAAAGCAAGAACATAAACCATGAACATGATTCAGTGTAAGCAAGATGCAAGCCTACTGCATTTTTGACATTGTGAAAACCTAATTAATCAATTAAGCATTCACCATAAAGTTCAACAAAGTGATTGCAAGCTTCAATCCTCAACCGAGAGACACCCACAAGCTAAACCAAGTCAAGAACACAAGTCTAGAACAATTTCACATGTGATCCATTCTCAATGATTTTTGTTCAGTAAAAGCTAATCTAATTCATGAATTCAGTAAAAAAAAAGTGATTAAAGATGATAGAAGAAGGTACTCTAGATCCAATTCATGAAGAACAATGAAGAAAATCGAACACATACATGAAAGCATGAGAAGCAAGCAAGAAATGACCCATGGAGGTGAGTGCAGGCGCGGAAGAGAGAAGAACTTGAGAGAAAATTCGATTTTGATTGAATCTGAACTCTGAAAACTTCGACTATCTGTTATTACATTAAGTTACTTTAACTAATGTACAATTACAAGTTACAAGGCCCATAACCGGATATAATCCAATAACTTGAGAGAGAGGTTGAAGAGTCGTGCTATCTTCGCTTCAGTGCAGTACCGCGAAATTCAAATGCTTGCAGTTTCTTCATTACTTCTTCAAATTAAACGTTTCTGGTCTCATTAGAAATCTTGTTAAGTTAGCTTTAAAACGCCACCACTTTCATGATTTTTGGAGGTCTAGCGAATTTAGGATAATTATTTTACTGATGCATGCCTGTGGGACTGACTCTGTGCATGTAACCTCTCTTTAACAATTTATATAAAATTCAATTTAGCTCCGAATTGAGTGGTTCTTGATCCTATGGAAATATGAATTTGTCTAGTTTTCAATTCTTCAAGAATCATGATTTTAAGATCTCTGTAGAAAAATGATAAATAAAATAGTAGACCAATATCAGTACCCGTATACAATAAAATATGACTAATTTATTGTTTTTATGCAGAATTTTATGTTAAGGCTTCCAAAGGCCTAGTAATACAAATTATAGTTAATTAAGCTTTATTAACACACTATAAACAATATCATAACATTATAAGCTACTTAAGATGTGCTGAAAATCAGTCACATCACACGCACCACTTAGACGCGTCGATTCCAGTGCGGTGGTTAGGCTGAACTTGAGAGAGTGGACGGGAGCTCGTCATTGCGTGGGTGACTCACGCTGGTTTGGGTGCAGCTCCGATGAAGGGAGGTGTGGTGTAAGCTTCGTGGTGCGATTCACAATGGTGCCGTGGCTGTGGGATTGCCAAGGGAGGCCACGGTGGCTCGCGGAGGTCTAGGGCTATCGCGTGCGACTCAGGCTAGTCGTGGCTGGTCATGGGGTGACGAATTTGGGGCTGAAATCGATGGGAATTGGTGAGGTGCATGATAGGAATGAGGGGGAGAGGGAATTAGTGAGTCAAGAATGGGGTTTAGGTTTTTTTTGGGTGATGGAGAGTTAGCTTCTAATCACCCCACCCATGAACATTTCCGACAGATAAATCCGTCAGTAAGGAATTGTTAATTTATTGATGGATAAATCGATCGGTAATAACAAATTTCTTCCACAACAAATATCTGTTAGTATAGTCCGTCAATGATTAACAATTTTCTTGTAGTGTATGTTTATTACTGAATTATATATAATGACGAAGAATCAATTTCATGTTTTGAGATATAAATAAAAAAATATTTATTTGTAAAGATTATTTGATAATCAAATAAGTATAATGAAAAATATCAATAAAAAAGAATGGGAGAATGTTATATACATGAAAAATATTGTGTTATCTTATTTATAAAACACTTATTATAATCTATTTTAAGTAATAAAAATTATGGCTTCAAGGTATTTATTTGCAGTGACAGATATTCATAGTAGTTAAGGGGGGTCATGATCCCCCCAAAGTTTTGTAACTTACTTGTATATTTATGATTTTGCCCCCTCCCCCAATATTAAATATATCATAAAGAAACAAACTAAAGGAATAAATTAAATAAGAAAGATTAAAAATAATTTTATTATCCGACATTTCCATTTTCATACTCTCTCATTAACGGTAATATTTTATTAGTATTTAATTGCTTCTCTAATTTCTAAGATTCCATATTAAATAAGAAAGATTAAAAGTAGTTTTTCATCTTCTCTCACCTTTTTATATTCTTTCACTAACTGTAATATTGATTTATTAGTATTACATTGTTTCTATAGTTTTTACTTTCAAATTCATTGTTTGTCTCTCTTCCTCCCTCCTCAGATTCCATCCTTGAAATTATATTCACTACTACATATAAGTTATTATCAGAAAATTTTAATAGCTTAGTGGTTGGAGTATTAGTCTCTAACTTAAAGATATTGGGTTCAAATCCTGTCATTGACAATTCTCTAACTTAAATGAATTTTTGGCTAAAAATAAAAATAAAAACACTTTCTACGTTGCACATCAATTCATCTGTAGTAGTGATTGATTGACAAAGGTACTTTTTCTTCATCTTTTCACACTCGCTTATTCTATTATTGTTTGTTATTTTGATTTTTGTTGAGGAACTGCTTATTCTATTATTGTTTGTTATTTTGATTTTTGTTGAGGAACATTTGTCTGTTCGAGAAAAATATTTTTGTTTTTTATAAATATTTATGATTCTATAGTTAGAAAAATAATAATAGATTCATTTTTTTCTAGATATGAAGCATAAAAGAATAGATTCATTTTTTAAAAGTGATAAAAGAGATACTTGTAGAGATGAAAACCAAATAAATTCAAAATCTTCTCCTGTTTCAAAGGATGATGATCCAATTATTCAATTAGAAGAACCCCTTTCTAAGATTCATAAAATTAAAACCAATGAATTTAATATTAATTCTTTGGAGTGTGACCCAGGAAAACATCTTCAGATACATGAATATCCTATGAATCAAAGAGATGAAATTAGAAGAGCTTATTTAAATTGAGGTTTAATAATAGATTCATTTTTTTTTCTAGATATGAAGCATAAAAGAATATATTCATTTTTTTAAAAGTGATAAAAGAGATACCTGTAGGGATGAAAACCAAATAAATTCAACATCTTCTCCAGTTTCAAAGGATGATGATCCAATTATTCAATTAGAAGAACCCTTCTCTAAGATTCATAAAATTAAAACCAATGAATTTAATATTAATTCTTTGGAGCACGACCCAGGAAAACATCTTCAGATACATGAATATCCTATGAATCAAAGAGATGAAATTAGAATAGCTTATTTAAATTGAGGTCCATATCAAATACAACTTAAAAACTATCCTTTTTCTAAAGAGAAACATCCTAGGAGATTTCAATATGGTTGGTTTAAAATTTTTCCTTCTTGGCTAGAGTATTCTCCAACTAGTGATGGAGCTTATTGTTTGCCATATTATCTATTTAGTACATTGTCAAATGGTCGTCCTGGGGAAGATGTGTTTATTAGACAAGGATTTAGATCATGGAAAAAGGTTAATTCAGGAAAGAATTGTGCGTTTCTTAGTCACATTAGAGATAGTCCTTTTTCACCACATAACAATGCAATGAAAACATGTATAAACTTATTGAATCAATCTAAGCACATTGACAACATTATAAATGTGCAAAATTCAGAAGAAGTTTGCAAAAATCGTTTACGGCTTAAAACTTCTATTGATACAATTCGTTGGCTAGCATTTCAAGCTTGTGCATTTAGAGGCCATGATGAAACTCCAAATTCAAGTAATAGAGGTAACTTTCTTGAGATGATTAAACTTTTAGCATCATACAATGATAAAGTAGCACAAGTTGTGTTAGAAAATGCTCCTTATAATTCAAAATATACTTCTCATCATATTCAAAAGGAAATTTTACAAATTTTTTCTAGAAAAGTAAGAAATTATATTCGTGAAGAAATTGGTGATTCAAAATTTTGTATAATTGTTGATGAAACTCGTGATGAATCTAGAAGAGAACAAATGACTATTGTTTTGAGATTTGTAGATAAAATAGGTAATATTAAAGAACAGTTTTTTGATAATGTGCATGTTAAAGATACTACAACTGCAACTCTTAAAAGAGAATTATGTGTTGTTCTCTCTAGACATAATCTTGATGTTTCCAATATTTGTGGACAAGGATATTATGGTGCTAGTAATATGAGAGGAGAACGGAATGGATTGCAAACATTATTTCTTCATGATAATCCTTATGCTTATTATGTACATTGTTTTGCTTATAGATTACAACTTGTTTTGTTGCTTCTTCAAGAGAAGTTATTCTAGTTCATCAATTTTTTTCAAATTTGGATTTTATTATAAATGTTGTTTCTTCATCTAGTAAACGTCATGATGAGTTACAACATGTAGAATTAGATGAAATAGCCAAATTGTTAGAACTTGGTGAACTTGAAATCGGTAAAGGAAAAAATCAAATTGGCACTTTAAAATGAGTTGGTGATACTCGTTGGAGTTCATATTTTCATTCCATTTGTAGTATGATGAAATTGTATAGTGCATCTTGTTTGGTTCTCCAAAAAATTATAATTGATGGTTTAACTTATTCTCAAAGGGGTGATGCTGATGTTGCTTATAATATTTTGTCTGAGTTTGAGTTTATATTGATTTTACACATGATGAAAGAAATTATGGGAATTACTGATTGTCTTTGTCAAACTTTACAAAAACAATCTCAGGATATACATAATGTTATGAAGTTAGTCTATTCGACTAAAATTTTGATTCAAAAATTAAGAGAGGAGGGTTGGCAAGATTTGTTGAAATATTTGATATTGTTTTGTGAGCAACATGACATTGATATTCCTAATTTTAATTCTACTTATGTAGCACGTCATGGTCGTTCTCGACATCAAAAAGATTGTATTACAATAGAACATCATTTCAGGGTGAACATATTTTTTATTATAGTGGATAAACAATTACAAGAATTAAATAATAGATTTAGTGAGAAAATAATGAAACTTTTAACTTTAAGCAATGCTTTAATTCCAAATGATGTTTATAAAAATTTTAACATTGATCATATATGCACACTTGTGAACAAATTTTATCCTTTGGATTTTAGTGAACAAGAGAAGATTAATTTAAAATTTTAACTTCATTATTTTATACTTGATGCTCCTAACCATCCAGATTTGAAGATTTTATCTACCATGCTTGAATTATGTCAATCTTTGACAAAAACAGGGAAGTCAGATACATTTTACTTAATAGATCGTTTAATTCGTCTTATTTTACCTCTTCATGTTTCTACAGACTACAAGAGATTTTTTCAGTAGTGAAGATTATCATAACAAAACTGCAAAATAAAATGGAAGATGAAATTCTTGCGAGATAATATGATTATTTATATTGAAAAAGAAATAACTGCAAACTTTAGTTCTTATTCCATTATTGATGAGTTCAAACATTTAAAAGAACGAAAGATATAATTTTAAATAAATATCTTATTTTTTATTTATTATTATATATATTTTTTTATAATTGGTCCCCTAGACTGGTCAAGATCTGCCACTTGTTTATTTGTGAAATAATTTATATATGTGTATATTATATATTTTAGCAAATAGTCAAGGTTATTCTAATTAGTATTTACATTGAGTGTTATTTAATCTTTAATGATATTGATTTATGGTGGTTCTTTATGATATTGAGAATGAATTAGTTTTACATGAATCAATTGTCAAGTCGTTTGAATTATCATAGGTGATAAGCTAACTAATTCAGTTTGGACGATTTCAAGTTTATCAAGTAACAATTTTTGTTTAGTTATACTTTATGTGAGTTATTAGTTTGTGAGACCATATACAAGCTAAAATTGTTCACTTTCTTTTATGGTTGAGGTTCCTTTTGTATTAATTATTGATCATTTTGACGATAATATAAGATGTTATGGCACTTATACATATATTCGTTTTTCGACATTGGTTCATGTCTAGATATAATTACATTTTGAATGCCAAGGTATAAAGATATTCTAGGATGTTAAGGTGTGTCAACATATATTGATAATATGGGATGTCGATGTGTGACAAAAACTTGGGATGTCAAGCTACAACAATATTCAGGAGTGTCAATATGTGCCATGGTATAATGTTAAGATATAATGATGTTCTTGGATGTGTAGGTATGCTAAGGTATAATAATATTTATAGATGTTGAAGTATTTCATAATAGAACAATATTCTAGGACATCGGGAGGGAAAGGGTGGCATGAGAATGTTGTGACCACCTCTAAAAATTTTATATTTCTTTAAATTTTATATATATTTTCATTTGAAAAAAAAAATCCCCGTCATCTCTACATCCTACCTTCCATTTTAGGTATAATGACATCATGAGATGTCAAGGTATAATAACATTCTAAGATATTGAGGTATAA